TAACTCGTAACTTGGCTGAAATATATGCGTTTCGATATTACATTACTACTTATGTATTTTTTTTTTCATTTCCATGCCAACAGGTAGGGATATAACCCCTAACCTGCCTCCTTCCCACGTACGCCAGGGATTATTTGCAGTATATAGAACATTTTTTTTTTTTTTTAATAGTTTTCAATGGACAAACTGCGTAGGTGTAACTACCGATGGTGCGGCATCGATGAGGGTAAACATGTTGGTCTGGTATGACGTATTAAAGAAGTAGTTGCAAATGATAAATGGACGCACTGTGTGCTTCACAGAGAGGTACTTGCGTCGTCAACTGAATTGAATGGCGTTCTTAATGAAGCTATTCAAATTATTAATTTTATTAAATCTGGAGGATTAAACAGTAGATTGTTTTATAAACTCTGTGAAGATAACGAACAGAATGTAAAATCATTTTTACTTCACTTTGAAGTACGTTAAATTGGAAAACGTCTATACAGACTGTTTCAACTTCGGCATGAAGTGTTATAATTTCTTAACAATAAAAATTCCAATTTTAAAATCTATTTTTGTCAAAGTAAATGGTTAATGTTAACATATTTGATAGATATTTGTACCATGCTTAATAATTTAAATTTGTCAATATAAGGTAAAAAGTTCAACATTTTTGACCAGTCCAAAAAATTTGCTTCATTCAAAAAAAAATTACTATTTATAAAACTAAATTAGAGAAGAGAAGGGAAATATGAATATGTTTTTAGTACTTAGTGAGTTTCTGCACGAAAACGACTCAGCGAATGTCACTGAAATTAAACAAATTATTTTATTACATTTAAACCAATTACCTATTGCATTAAATAGTTTTTTCCCATAAGATATCCATGATGATTTTCAATTGGTTGAAAATCCTTTTATTTTTTCAATTGATAAGTTGAACTTCAATACGCTTCTTTAAATTAAGATTATTGAACTTTATTGTGATAAAACTTATGAAAATCAATTTTAAAATGAATTTATCATTGATTTTTGTTGTGCAATATATAATAAAAATCCAGAATTTTTAATAAACGTGATAAAAAAACTATTAATTTTACCCACTACTTATTCATGTGAAAAATGATTTAAACCGCGAAAAACTATAGATAATACATAAAACAGGTACAATGGCGCAACATATTATATTATTTGACACCGGGAATTCATCACTAAACTTTTTATATGCTTTATGGCAATGCCTTTATTGGTAAGTACTTTTTGTATCGTTTGACATTGAGTGCATAAATTCAAAATATAATAACAGTGAAATTCTTTAACCATCAGAGTACATCGTCCATATCCGTTTGAATGTGCGTTTCTTAAATAATATCAAAGATGGTTTTATTTTTTTGTAATAATTTTTAAAATTCCTTCCTAGCAGTGGCGGATTAGATTCGGTTTTAGGGAAGGGAGGGCAATATCCTTTTGGTTCAAAAATTATACTTTTAACTAACATGATCAGACGTCAGTCAATGTGATTACTGGCCGCTTATTGTGATAGCACAGCTATATACAAAGGCCGTGATTGTTATTAATTATGAACACTCTGATCTTCTATACAGATTTTCGAAAGAAATTGTTATTTTTAGTTAGTTTGATGTCTAGGAGGGGGCCATGGCTCTTCAAGCTCCCCCCCCCCCTAAACGCTGCTCATGCTACCTTATATTATGTAAGTAGGATGCATTCTACTAAAGTATTAGGCATACTAACATTATATTACTATTATTGTGACTTTTTATGTGTCCCGAGATTGCATTTGAAGAAAACGAAATCGGCATTACCAACATTCTGCATTATCGCAAGGGAATGTTTACAAACGGTACGAGTTTAATCAATATGGCAATATTCACTATTCACTATTCAATATTCATTTATGTTGGTGTACGATGACATTCACCAACTGCGGACATTCACAGAAACAATTGAATTAAATGAATGATAATAATAATACATCTTGGTATCGTGAGCATATTTGTAACACTAGATATAGTCCCTTCTTCCTGCCAATACTATTTCACACATTTCTAAAGCTAAGCAATTGAATTAGAGAAACATCGTTCACCACTATGCCACTGCACACTGTTCCCGAACACTTTGTATTATAACTTTGGACAGAGTTGCTGGAGTACGAAAATATATTATTACAATAGTATCATCAAAAAGTTTTGAACATTAAAACGCAAATTTATACGCATTCAAATAGTATAATATGGAGTGTTAAATGGAAAAAATAAAAGTCAGCATTATGCGGTTCACGTGCATTATTGAACTACACATTTTAGGTGTTCGGTAATAATTGTATTAGTTAGGTGTTACAAATGAATGAGAGATAACATTGTGGTTCTACACAATTTTCGTAATTTCCGATATTTTTTATCGTGAATGAAATGGTTAATTAGAAGGTGTAAAATACACAATTATGTGCAATGATACCTACGGCGCTAAATTATATTATTTCAAAATTTCGATTCGATAATATAAAAAAAATAAATTAGTGGTCAATGAAATAATAAAATAACCCCTACCTATACGAAGCCCGGAAAAATGTTCGAATCGATTATAAAAGTCGATCTGCATGGCTGACGTGCAAACGTTTAAAGTTCGTAATATCGTAATAATAGCGTCGTATCATTTATACGTATACCCACATATATTTCACAAGAATAAAAATAATTTACAATCTGCACCCAATGCAGAGTATATTTACTTATCATATCCGTAAAAATGTGTAATAACAATATTAATTAGTTTATCAAATATAAACTAATGATTTGTTTGCAAAATTTTTACTAAGTAAATAAACTAATAAAGTAAAAAAAAAATTTAAAAATCAACCATACGGGAAAAAATCAATCGCGTAAATAACATTAAAAAAAAAAAATAAATAATATTATTCACTTGAGTTTCTCAATAATATTTTTACTAGATTTTCAACGAAGAAGCTATAGTTTTTCAAAGATGGTCTTTTTTAGGTGTTGTGCGGAGCGTGTTGGTTTTACAATGCTTTTATTTATTTATTTTTTTATTTTTTGGACAACTTTTCAACCTGCAATTTTGTTCCGATTTTAATAACGGCACTTTTTCTGAAACGAAATCGAACTGGAGAGGTACTTTAGGGAAGTCATTTTTAGGGAAGTCAAGTTTTCCTAACAAATAGCAAAAACCGGAAAAAACGGACAAAAATTACGAAATGTATTAGTACAGTTGCACAGTATTTTTTTTCTGTGGATAATTTTCCTACCAGCAATATTGCTCCGATTTACAATGGTAGCACCCTTTCTAAAATGAAATTTCACTAAGAAGGTATTTTAGAGAGTTCATTTTTTGATTTTCCCGGAGTTTTCGAAATAAATGTGAAAAACTGGGAAAAAATGGGAAAATAGGTACAATATTAAACAAATATTATTAAAGAGTATATGTAACTACTGTTAACAAAGGGACACTACCAACCGAACTCCACTCAAAATCGATTTTTGGTTAGCGATGATTAATCGTTGTTTACAGATATACGAAAACCTTGAATTGCCTATAACAGTGGCTACATCCATCCCCATTATCCCATTTGATTTTTTCATGTAGATTAGTGAAAATCTTGATATTATCAAGATAATTACTTCGAAAAACCATAAAAATAAAATAAAATAATTTCCAAAAGTACACATTTTGCCGAGATTCAGTGAACTTTCAGGTAAAGCACATACCTACTAAGTTTTTTTTTTTTACTATATTATAGCATTCCCAAAGTTTATACGAATACCTAAATTTGAAACACTATGAACACAGTGCTATCATTTAACAAAAGAAAAACGTCTATAATCAATCCTTAAATTGACAACTAAAGTTAAAAATACGGTAAAACGATTTTATGTAATGCTAACTACAGTTATTTTACTTCAGCAAGCATTAATCGTGTGCAAAATACAAATGAGTTTGATTTACGTGACCATAAAGAGAGAGTTCTTTGGCGTGTTTCGCAAAACTTTTTTAGATACCTATGATGTATCAGTAATTAAATAAATACTGCAGTTTATTGATTTTTTTTACAAATTCGAATAATTTAAATTGGCGTAATAACGATAATAATTATATTAATGTAGTTTTTGTGCTGATTTAGCGCGGTTTAAGTTGGGTAGTTTCAATAATGTTTTGGTTAATGTTATCAAACAGAGACGGTGTGGTTTAATTGTTTGAACGTTGGTTTAAATCAGTGGTTTTAACTATACGCATATATAAATAACAACTGATGGCAGTGATGCCAATATAATAACAATAGATAATATTGAAAACGTCCCCTGCCAGGATTTATAATGGCTAATGATGCTTTCGCAAATAACAAAAAAAAATATTTTCTCCCGAATCACAATAAACCTCCCGCTTTCTTACAATAAACATTTGATAATTGTATAGCTAATAAGCAATTATTCAACACAACATGATAACTCGGCCACTTAAGAAAACAGACGAAAAAAAATCGTAAAATCTGATAAACATATTACTTATTAGGAAACTCGCGTTTGCAGCAATTAGTGGTTAACGCCATAAACTGCATTTGTATTTTTTTTTTATTTTTTTTTTTTTTTTTTTCATAATTTACTGCACTGCAGATAACACATGGACCTTCGTAACAAATAATTTATTACTAAACCTATTTATTTATTTGCCGATAATATTACAAAAGTTTAATCGGGTATCCGACAGTGATGCTGAATCTCCTATAATAATTTAATAAAAAAAAAAACCGCTATTTTTGTTTTTATATATATTAAACAGTATTAGTATTCTTACAAATATTTTTTTCTTCTCAAAAAACACTTACGGTCATTAAAAAAGTTTTGATTATTTTATATCATACCTTAAACGATGCGGATTTTTTTACTGATGGTACTTTGTTTTTTAAAATTGTACGTGATTCTCAATACTTTTTCAACAAAATTGTTATTTGTGTTCTTTTTTTTTTTTTTAATTTGTTTAAATTAGGCAAATGCTCCAATTTGTTCACGCTGTACCTAAGAAGATGCAGAATTTCTGTTTGGTGGTATTTTATTCAAAACATTTATCGCCATTTTCAGCAATTCACCATCTAGGTACGAGGTACCTATTTTTTTTATAGATAAATTTTTGTTGGTTTCTGGGTTATTTTAGCAAGAAAAAAATGCACGACTAATAATACTCAGCTCAGAATCGGTCTTTCGTTTATAATTATTCAAAGTAGCAATGATAGTTTATTTTTTTTTAATTGCATTACAGTTATATTGTTTAACTCCGTATGAAGAGCTTATGCTTCATATTATAATTATAGTTTATTGCATGTTATGCTATCAGTAAACTCGGTTCAGGTTATACAAATTATATAATAATATAATTTGATTGTCGATAGTTAATAAAAATAAAAATTAATTAATAGGTATCTACCTACTCTTTAAATAATCTTAAATCAATCGAACATCTATTATAATATTCATAATTAATTCGATTTAATTGGTTCGTGTATCTATACAACCGATTATAACATATTATTTGCACTACTTAAATTTATAAAGGGGAATTTTTATTACCTGATACATCGGTAATCGAATTTATTTTTTATATTATTTAAATTAAATATGACTACGATATATTTTCACGTGGATAAATTTAATTTCGAAAACAGTACTTGACTAGTACCTACAGTACCAACAATGTATCCACTAGTTTAATGGCTTTAAAATAGAATACAAAAAAACTTATTTTGTAGACGCATTTGCGCATGTATTCAGAGAAACCCGAGGGTCTAAGATCTAGAAATTCTTCGTGGGAGGGGGGAGGCGCAAACCATGAAATCCCCCATGGATCCGCGCCCGGTACTTACAGTAATATAATTATAATTTTGAACACCTATATCAAAATTAAATTAACGATAGCAATTATATTGTTAATTTAATTTATAATAGTACAAAAATAATTGGGTAAAAATCATGGTTTTTCACAATCACTATTAGGTTAGGTTAGGTAGAACCTATAATAAGGGTGTCAAATCGTAATTCTGTCTAATAATTAGGCTAAGGTCTATGTCGGCAGTCGTTGTGAGCCATATGAAAACTGTAGATATTTTAACACGAGGCAAGGTCTTGGCTTTATAGTTATCATAACAACATGCAACATTATTTTTTGGTCGAATTGTAAATTATTATCGATATGTGTGAATAAAATAATAGGTAATGATCAATAATATGCACGCTAAGCTCACTGTGTATTTATTACATGTAATAATAACATTTTAAAATCATTATATGTTATGGTTTTGTTTATGTTATAGTTTATTTTATTTTAATTAGTTATCTATTATAACGAAACAAAGATATTAAAAAATGCTACACTTGAAAATCGAAACAAATTCTATTAATAGAACAGTTGTTCATAGAAAAAAAAAAATAAAAGTTATTTGTTTTACAATGACATTAAAAATGTGTAACATTAGACAAATTATTTTAGTTTTACAATCGTACGTCGTACAGTTTTACGTTGCGTGATTATGCTTTTCGTCTCTGTGCATTTTACACGCCGTTTGCATAATATCACTTATTTACACAAAATGTAAGTATACACTTATTTTTTAAATAATTTTATTTTTCTAGCCATTTTTGAAAAAAAATAATGTTTAAGTAGATACATATTAGCCACCAATTATTATTACTTCAATAATGTTGTTCAAATTTGTAATTAAAAACTAAAATACATTATTTAATAAACCTTTTTTGAAGAAAAAGTAATCACAAATTTAATTTAAAGGTTAATACTCAAATACACATTATTCTTATCTACTTAAACTCTCGTAAACTTCCATTTACATTGTCCTTGAAAATAATTAAAAAGAAATAAAACATATTATAAATATAAGTATTATCAATATTATTAATTTGATTATTTTTTATATTTCTAGTCCCCACCAATAATTTTTTATAATATTTAGCATTGATAACAACAAAATTCGATATCCGAACTAATCAAATTTAAATTTTAATAAACATTAACAATTACATTATAAGTCCCTACTTATTTTATGAGTAGTTAATCGTATGTACGATTAGAAATACTTGACGTATTTGATATAGAACCTAACGCAGTTGATTTGGACTTTTACCCATTGAATTGACATTGTATTTTAGCCCGCCCGAGACAATTTTAGAAAATTGTCAACAAACACATCTTGTAATGATGTTTATAATACAGATGGGTATATATATATATATATAAATTTTTTTTTTTTCGTAAGTGTACCGGATTCAAGCAGTCAAGCAGTGTACGGTGTACCAGTACAATTAAAAAAAATCAATGTGTACAATTATACGAGTACAGTGTTTTTGTACACAATTTATGCTTCAATCTACCTTAAAATTAAAATTGAAATTAAATTAATATAGTATAATAACTATATTTGACTATAGCAGTAGGTATTAGTTCATTTAAGTACTATAATGATTGACCCTCCAGAACCCAGAAGCTAAATAAATTATAAATTAGAGATTGAGCAATGGATATCTACCATCCCAATCGGGAAATTAGATACTCGGTGTGTGTAATCGCATTTAAGGGTGTATGCTATGCCCCTAAATGCGCCATCGCATGGTACATTCCGACATTTGAGAATTTTACAATAAAATGTACGAACAATATCACTTCGTCCCCGAGTGTCCTAAATAAATAATTCGTGATAACGCGTACGCTACTATTAATTTAATTGATAGGATAATATAAGTTTACTCAACTAAATGCCACTAATAAATATACGTGTTTTATAATAAAAAAATCATTATATTATGGATTTTTAGAGCCCCGTAAAGTGCTAAGTGGCGACAACGGTAGATAAACCTTTGATAACCTATAATGAAAACTATATATACACCTATAGTATGCCGTAACCGTTAGAGACAGTATAATTTGTTGTAATAATATCAACAGTCAATTATATCGATGAAATTACAACAACATAATATTTAAACTTTGAACACGAGTCAATAGATCAACGCGTTCATGTATTGCGAATCTCGCGAATAACACGATTCCGCCGTGTTCAAAATAGAAAACAAGGTACACCCGATATTCATTCGAAAATCCGGTGAGTGTAACAAACTCATTTCCGCCAGACAAACAAGGACATAGATAGGTGGTTTTGCATTTGACCGGTCAAAACGATATACTCCAAAAGTATACATCTTTAAAAAAATGTCTCCAGTATAGAATGCATGACCATATATCATTATTATTCATAATAACTAATTAATCATCATTAATCGTCATTATTCATGTTTTTATTTTCATTTATTTTCATTCATATAAAAATATTTTCATATTTTCATTTATTTTAGTAAACAGTTTATAGTTTTTCGATAAGTTGGTATTTAAACAGAACTTTTTTGTACTTAACAAATATTTTCGAATGTTTATCGGGTGAACGTATTAGTGAAAAAGAAATTAAAACGTACAATGACTATGGACTACGACGAACGGTACATACCTACAAAAAACAATGACAAAACAGCAACAAAAATCGAAATTTTATCAGTTATACATTTACTTTCAGTACAGTTCTATTAACTTACGCGTGTCGAATGTAGCTCACAGCTTATTTAGTTTACTTACCGATTCCATTTTTATGGCAACACCGTTGGAAATTGATATTACAACATTTCGTTTTTTTTTTTCCTTATACACTAACAGTCATCGATTTTTTCATTTGATGAAACATTATAATGTTTTATTATATAGATCATTTTTTGAAATGTTCAATACGTTTTCCAAAAAATTGCGTTTTTATTATTTTATTTCATTGAATACACGTACGTTTATGTAAGGAATTCCGACCCGGTAGTACTCTATTCACTTGAATTTCTTTTTGAAATTCTCAACAGTTCACGGCCTAAACAGTTTTTTTTTTTTTTCTAATGATCCGAATTGTTTACTTTGTACTATGGAAGATGCGAGTTTGTCCAATTAGTGATACTTTATTTTTAAAATGTTTAAAGATACCCGACAGATCGACATAAAAATTAAAAAACTGTTAATAAATGACGATACAACGGTATTAGTTTTGTTGATGCCTTTACCACAATAAAAGAAAAACAAAACTAATAACCTTAAGAGGACGCTATACCCGCATGTGCTGTCTCAGTTCAACAAATCGACTTTAGATTGACTGCGTAGAACTCGCGTATTTTTGAATTTAGAGTAAAAGCACTTATTATAAAATTAAAAGAAGAAAAAATTTCGGTTGGCCAGACGATACGTATCTTTTTTTGAATTAATTTTTTGAAATGTTACAGTCATTTAAAAATTATGAATTAGTTATTATTTCTAAACGATGTATTGAACATTGTATTCGGAATAATAATTAGAATAATAGGAAAAACGCATCGTTTTAACCTCCGGGTTTTTGTCCAATTTTAATTTTATAATAAGTGATTTTACTCTAAAACCAAAATCAAGCGAGTTTTACGCAGTCTGCGTAAGTATGTTTTAACTATACCGTGCGTTTGTAAGACGGAAATAACAAATGCATGTGTCCTCTAAACGGTTTATCGAAAGTCATTCGCAACAGTTTTCTAGTTGCAATAATTTACCGTTGCTTTCAGATACAAACTAAATTATACCCAATACTTTCTCAACTTTCCATCTACAACAGCAGTCTACCCATAAACCGTGGCACGAAGTTTGTCCGGCTTTTTTTAAACTTTAAATAATTTAAACAATTATTGATACAATTACAATTATTATAATATTATATTTTTTTACCTAATTTATATTACCAGTCATTTAATTCAAACAAATCTCAAACAAATTACAAACAGTTTAAAAATCATAATTTATTAAAACATAAAAAAAAAAATAATAATAATGGAGATTTTTAACAGAGATATTTTTCTAGAAATATCTTATCGAAAATCTACCGCGGCCACCGTAGTTTCGATCGTTTATTTATGAAATGGATATTATAATATTATCGTCCTGCGTGTCAAGGATCAACGCTAGCATGATAAAAAAAAATCCTTGGTTATTTTTTTCGGAATCAGGAAATGACAACCCGACCGTCCGGTCCGTTCCTTCCCGCCCACTATCGTCAAGCGTATAATTATACTTAATAGGTATCATGCTTATACATACACTATACACTCATATAATACGTATACGGATAACGTTTTATTCGTACGGAACCGACCAGTTTTGTAACTTTTGTTCCGTTCTTTTGCACTTTTTCTTCTTCCAACTGCTATAATAGGCACCGCTGCAGCTACTATTTACTTAATAATAACATAAGACACGAAACGAAGGCCGGAGACAATGATACGCGCATAAAAACCGAAAACCCGTAGCTCGGCCATTGTGCACGTGTTCGCGTATACGATTACGACGGCCAAGATGGTTTTTCTTGAATGAACGACACTATCTTCGCTATAAACAGCCTCTGTAAAGAGGAACACGATCCGACAATATTATTATCATTATTACATTATGAAACCAAAGAAAACGATATAATATAATACACAATACGCGACCTTACGAATATATGCGTGCGCAATGCGTCTTACAGTAGGTTACAGTACTTACACTCGAACTGAAAAACCGGTGTAGTTGAACGTGCATATAAACGTAAACATAAAAGTAAAATAGCTTCGAAACGGTTTACCTACCGGAATTAAATTGATTCATATTACCGTTGGTGAATCTAAAATTTGTGTTTTCTAAGTTGCGGATTCAATCTATAATCTTATACATAAAAATACCTGTGCTGACTGACTAATCTATCAACGTGAAGCCCAAAACGTCGAGTCAAGAAACTTGAAATTTCGCACATAGGTTACTCAAATAATGTAAACAACCTCTGAAAAAATATAATTCTAAACTTAAACCCTCAAAAACAACTGACACGGGGGTTTTTATATTTTTGAAAATAAATTTTATTTGTTTTTGTTTTTTTTATTAGGTTACCTTGGTGACACGGATAAAAAAAATTATCATTAAATAGTTTGATTGTCAAAAGCAAGAAATACATTTTTAAAAACAAACGGATAAACTTGACACAATAGGTAGGTCACAATTGTAGGTGAATATTAAGACAGTAGAAAATAATTTTAATGTAATCTGTACGCAACGATTAATCATTGTTAACGAAAAACGTTTCTAAACGGAATTCGGTTGCACATGTTTTGAAAGTCCATAATTTCAAAACAATATTTTTCGTAAGTTCTCGGTTTTTCCCATTTATTATGAAAACCTCTGGAAAAATCAAAAAATGACCCCAAAAATACCACCCTAGTCAAATTTCCATTCTGAAAAAATTCTACACTTGAAAATCAACACTTCTTTAAAAAAGATTAAAAGATTAAAATAATAAAAAATTAATACTAACAAAAACAAAAAAAATACGCCCTAGGATAATAGATACGGGTGCAGCCACTGTTATAGGTAATTTAATGTATACCTGTGAGCAACAATAAAACATTGCTAAAGTAAAAACGATTCTGAGCGCAGTTCAGTTGATAGTGATGTTTTGTCAACAATATATATATGTCATATTATGGTAAATTAATTAAATAGGCATATAGGCAAATATATTTTTTTGACGATATTGGTTTAATATTGTACTGATTTTCCCATGTTTTTCCCGATTTTTCCCAATTACCGAGAAAATCGAAAAATTACCTTCCTTAAGTACATAAGTCCAAATCAGATTTACTTCCAGAAAAATTCTATCATTTTAATTCGGAGCGAAATTGACGGTAGAAACGCTGTACACAAAAAAAAGGCCATAATATTTTTTACTAATATTTAGTAAAAAATTACTAATTTATTAACTTATTTACCATTCGTACATTTTCCATTTTTCCGAAATTTTATCCCGGTTTTTCCCAAATATTATGGAAACCGTTTGAAAAATTAATAAGCGACTTCTGTAAATTACCATGGAGATAAAATTTTCTTTCAAAAAATAAGCTACACTTTATACATCAGAGCAAGATTTCTGGTAAAAAAATTTGCACGAAAAATCGAGGGGTATTTTGCGAAACAAAAAACAGTATGAGAGAGCGATGGCTTGGGTCTCTAGATACATCCAAAATGCATTTGTTTTTTCCTTGTTTAGATAAAAGAGAAAACAAATGTAAACAAATATTTTTCGACACACTGGTTTGAATTCGGAACCTCTAAAATGATAATAGACATAAATAACCATTAGATCACGACAAAAATGCTTTAAGAAGTACAATATATAGAGTTATTTAACATAACATATAATATCAGAACTTCAAAAAGCTACAATTTCGAAACTTAGAAAGTCCGCTTTATTCTGACTTCACTATCGATGAAGTTCTTAAATCAGCAATATATATAAAAAAAAAATAATTGGGAAAAAAAATTTGTTCTACATAATTTTTACTCGAACGATTTTCTTCAACATTTAATATAAAAATTTTCTTATGAAAAAAATACTATATTAAACTTAATTTTTTTCTTTTCACCACAAAGTAAGACTCTAAATGAACTATTAAATTTTGAAGCATTTCTGTTCAAGTCTAACAATTTTACCACATAATATATAAATAATATACCAAAAATATTTTTTATTGCGAATGCTGACTTTTGTTTTAGTCTTGATTTCATTAATTGTATATTCGGCAACGCAATTTGCCAATTTACGTTCTATAAAATTAGCTGCGAATAAAATTTTATCATATTTTTGACGGCTTTACCCATTGATTTTTCATCCGATAGCCCAGTGAACTTTGATTCAATAAATAGGTAGTATGTAGGTAGTGCAAAACAGCGAAATATATATATTTTGTTTTATTTGTAACATGTACAATCCTTTTAGGTCACTAAAAAATACAAATATTTTATCATTCTACAAAACATTTACAATACAAGTTCGAAATTTCACTATAAGCACTGGAAAACTATAGATCAAAAATCTAAAACAAAGTCGATTCGTCTCGTGCTGTGGCGGATGACAAGTCGAAATCGAACATTTCAGACTTGATAAATACGTTTTTCAAAATGTATAAACTATGGTTGATAGATTTCACAATTTCACGCGTCGACCTTCAAATTTCGTTCGGTTACTTGTCATGTAGATATTTCAGGCGGAGAAAATAGCGATTTCATTTAGCTAAAATGTCTACCAACCGTTTAATAATAATTCCCATTTATCAAAATAATATATTCGCCTCCGACTTTTTGCGCTTTCGTCACAAAACTATATCCGTCGTGCATTTGGCTTGTAAACGGTATATTCTCTCTTTCTCTCTCTCTCTCTCGTCATTATTCTTACTGGCACAATTATTTATTTCACCATTCATATTACCACTATATTATATTCTCGGTTCCACGGCATTAATTAATTCGTATAAAAATCAAGTAGTCCCTTTTTCGCCACTTGTCTTGGAAAATATAGTTTGGTCGAAATCAATTCTCAAATTCTACGTGATTTTCTATAAACTATCCATACGATTTAGTCAATGCAATAATCTTGCAAACTTCATTTTGACGAAATTTAAAAAAAACTTCCTAACTCTTAGTGAGAATACACAAAACAAAAAACAACGGAGTCATTTTCTGGCCCAACGTTATTACGATTTGATATGATATTTCATATCTCGTAAGGTCGTTTTTGTACGAAACGATGTAAGGTACCTCCCAAAACTCAAAATCTATGCCCAAATATTAAGCCCAAAAATCCGCTAATGTCTCTTTTTTCATACATCAAATTGTATTATCTCTAACCGAATGAACTCCCGTAACCAAACAAATTACGAGACCGATGTATAATTTATATCGAAATCCTAATAATACGTATACCGTTTATCAAATTTCACGTAACAGCCAAATTTTCGGTGAAATATTTTTTTTTTCAAAAAATGACTCAGATATGTCAAAACTTAATAATCAAATAGTTCTAAAATGTTACATTGTCAGTGGCGGATTCAAGGAGGGCCGAGAGCGCCTGAGCCCCTCCTCGACAGTTATATTATATTTGTAGTTGTAAGAGTGAATAATGATTATAAATCGTCGTTCAAATTTCGGTTAGACCAATAATTAATAATAGATAATATCGATACTTGATTGTAATCTTATCTGTATTCCATATTAAGTGCTCAAAATTAATATGAAAAATTTTGCCCCTACCCCCAAAAAAACAAAACAAATCCTATATCCACCAATG